CCCTGTGTAATTGTTTGCCCACTACTTTCTCACTTAGAAAATCCAACCTTCATAAATAGGGCAAAGATAAGCCACAGCCCAACCTCTGAATAAATGGTCACAGGCTGTGTCACAGACCGGAGGGTTGCCAAAATGAGAAGTGACCATCGAAAAGGGCGGTGTCCGAGGAAGTCATTCTATCACCTACCTGGCCATACTGATCCACATATTCCTTTGTCAAAGTACCCTCAGCTCCAGCGGCTGGACCAGCCATTCCCTTAATTTCTCTTTCATATTGTTGATGGTATCTCACCTGTTTGAAAGGAAAGGACAAACCCAGTGAATTTAGCCTCCTATGCACAGAGGCCAGAGAGTAAAACTGAATGTTTTGTGCAATGTTCTTTTTTTGCTTGGGTCCAGGGAGTGTGTCTTAGACATATCAAAGTGCCAGAGCATGGTAAAATCGATTGAAAACCATGAAGGAATGCTACTTCCTGGATCCATGGTACATGCCCAAGTAGACAGGAAGTTGGACTTGCCAGGCTCAGGTAACGTCCTGCTTCCTCCCCTAACATGACAATATTACCAGGGACACTTACGTCACTCGCCAGCTCATTGGCTCTTTTGGCTATCTGATAAGCAGGTGTGATCAGAGCAGGAAAACTGCCTTTGCCTCTCTGCTGTTCATAGTCCTCTGTGTACCTCACCTGGAAAATGAAAACAAATTTTGAATCGCATGTCGCCATCTCACCATCTACCAGGCTATCTGAGTGGCAAGCCTTAGTCAGGGCTCCCATAACACCCTGCACATCCCCTGTCACAGCTCTTAAGGCAACATAACTGGCTTATAGCTTGATGAGCCCTGCATATCTTATTGACCTTTTTATTCCCAATACTCAGCACAGTGCCTGGCACATGGAGAAAGAAACTCAACGTAGAGCTCAACACATACATGCGAGGCACCTGGTGTGGGCCAGGTGGCAGGGCTGGGTGGAAGAAGAAAGCTCCTGCCCTTGAGGAGCTGCCTGTCAAGTTTGGGAGACAACAGACGCTTCTCAACCCAAGGCAAGTGGAAGCCACTTGTTAAGCTGAGCCTGAATTCATGCTTAAACTTCCCACTCAGAATACCACTAAGTTCCTGGTCTTATTGTTGCTGTGGAGCAACTGGGCTATGAAAAGGCAAGTGGTAGAAGTTCTTTAGAAGTTACGTTCTGTAATTTGCAGTGACAAGGAGAGAATGAATCTGAAATTCTTTCAGATGAATCAGATACACCTGGCTTGCCACTAATACTCTCTAAAGTCTTCTCTCTAAAAGGGAGTTTTCACAAGTTCTATGCTAGCGAACTTTTGTGAGCCGACTATTCTTGACCTCAGAAAGTTCTTCCTGGTCCCCACACAGGACTGAGATGCCCCTACATTCTCCCTCTCTCCCCATCCAAGCAAGAAAAGAGCGGGGAANAATGCTTGGCTCCTGATTACAGGCCGAGTTTCAATTTGGCATATTTAGTATATGTGCTGCCGAAGTGAGCACTCACTTTGGAGTGTTAGTGTGTGTGTGTGTGTGTGTGTGTGTGTGTGTGTGTGTGTGTGTGTGTGTGTGACTTCACCAAGTTTAATTATAGCCTATCTTTCAAGGACTGACGGCTGGCCAACATTCTGCAAATAAAAACGTTATCAACCGGGTTACACCTCATTTGATAATCATATGACTTGTTTTAATCAGCTATCCCCCTAAAGTGCTAGATTTCTAGATGGGTTCTTTCGGGAGGACTCTCCTAACCCCAGCTCATCTCACGGGACCAGTATTTCCACTTGCTTCAGCTGACCGAAAGTGAGTGGTGCTATTTGTCCATGTCAATCTCCTTTGAAGCAGATAAATGGGACCAAACAGTCTGAACAGAGGAAGTAGATACCAGGAATCTGGATAGAAATATGAGGGCTAACATTCTACTTTGGCTCAGGTCTAATAAATGAATCTGTGCATAGGTTTCAGTACGCACAGCCTTCAAAGCCTCATTTCCCCTCTGCTTCTGGGGCTCTGTGGGTCATCCTGTGGGAATTCCTGTGGTACTTACATCACTAGCGAGTTCGTTGGCTTTCTTGGCGTTCTGATAAGCCGGGGTGATCATGGCAGGGAAGCTGCCCTTCCCTCTGTGCTGGTCATATTCCTCCAAGTAACCCTGCTGGGTCGATCAAAAATTTGAATGAGTAATGCTCCCCTCCCTAAATGGCTGGGGGATCCGCAATGATCTCTCCGAGAGCCTGTTCCCACCGAGGCCCTTCCACATCGGACATTCGGTGATCACGCTATATAGGAGCAACACACATGGTGGGTAAGATGGCAGACTCTTGAGTCAGGCCTACGTACTGGTGCCCAGCACACAGTCAGCACTAAGTAAATGGTAGCTATTATCATTATCATCATCATTTCCACCAGATAAATCAAGACACTCGACCAGTTTCCCACGCCCACGTATTATGGAGTATTCACTTCTTAGCTGACACCAGGAAAGCCACTCTGAGTAGCCCCAGTCGTCTTGAACTCTACCTTTCTCAGTCCCATTGACAGATTAATGCAGAGAGATGAGTTGACATCCCAAATACTGTCCCCCCGCTGTGATGTATGTCATTTGCCAGGAAGGAGAGCGTTATATAATATGGGGGTTCAGAATGAGTCGCTCCAAGATGTGCCTCTGTGGTATGTGGATTGTTTTGAGCTCAATACAACTGTAGCCTTGGGCTCAAGAGAAACTTCTGCCCCTCCCTTAACTACCCAGAACTTGAATTAGGGCCCTTGCCTACGTATAGGGCAGGGCAAACTTCTATTCACTAAGTGGCTCTTCTTCTTATCATCCTGCAATGGCCCTTTGAAGCCCCATTTTTAGTTCCGGATGTCTTATATACCTCAATCCTCCTTTCTATCTCCGAACCTCACCTGCATGTGGGTTCCCATACACATGTATGTATTAAATTTGGTTATTTTTCTCTTGCTAGGCTGTCTCACTTCTATTTGATCATTAGGGAAGAAGAAACTTGAAAATAGAGGAAAATTTATTCCTCCCCCACAATTATCTAAACTTTTATAATGGGGGGAGGCAAGATTTTCAAACTGGCATAAGAGGATCTGAAATGGAACTAAACATATACTGGGGTGTCGGAAAAGTCATGACGCATTTTTGCAACGAAAAACATAGAAAAAATACGTATGACTTTTCTGACAACCCACTATTTCAGACCAAAAACTATAATCCGAGTCTTCATTCCTCCCTTCCTTCTCCCCACACCACCCATGCACATTCATAAAGGAAAACCTTTCTCTCGTGGGCCTGTCATCACACCGCTAGTGTAAACCTTCCCTGGCAGTCAGATATTACACTTCAAGGCNCAATGACATATGAGCAACAATCTGAGCCTCTGTTTCCTCACCAGCAGAATGAGATGATAATATTTACTTTATTGGATTGCAATGTGTATCAAATGAATTAAGCAATAAATGCACAGTAAAGGCTATATAAGCTTGTTAAAAATAAGAAATCACCATTACTGCAAAGTACTCAGCAAAATAAGCTATGTTGGCAGTACGTGTAAAGAGCCACATGGGTAAGGATAAGCTCGATCTAATGCACATTTTCTTGAGGAGAAGTATGGCCTGAACAGGCAGGAAAGCCAATATGAAATGCGGTAACATTAGGAAGGCAGATTACTAGAGAGCCTTCTACTTCATGTGTCATTTTCTAATTTTAGAAAGCCACTAGCTCCATCCCACTGAACTTTTTGTGGGGCATGGGGAGAGAAGTTAAATGATTCATTATTTTAATAAACATGAGCCCTCAATCACTAGCTACTTATTTGACAAAACACCATTGTTGGTTATTCAAAAGAAGTTGGTTTATCAACATGGCCTCGTCTGCCCAAATATCAGTTCAAAATCAATATAACTTTGACATTCCCCTACCCCGTGGGGAAAGAGAGGTTGCAAATAATCTTAAACATTATTGAATTTGGAGAGATTTAAGAGTGTGAAACTAGAGGTTTTTAATTTTCTATACCAAAACAATCATGGGGAAAAGAAAGAAAAGGCTCCTGTACTATTTTCTAACTACTGTGTTTTATGTATTCGGCACCTCGTGTATACAGGGCCTTTTGTATAAACTGTCATCAATGTGTCCAAAACTGGCAGACACAGAGAGATTACTCTGGATACAATGACCTCAGATATTCACGCTAGACCTTCCTGNAGCGTTTCCACAAATATGAATCAGCCTTTAGTGTGCTGGCCTGTTACAAATAATAGATTGATTACATGGCACCGTCCATTAACCTAAAAAAAACAACAGTTACTCATTTAAAAGAAGAGTGGCTTGGTTGGCATTTTAGGCACTACAGTTATTTATAGTTTATCTGACCGTCTGCCTGCCTCTCTCTCACTCCCTTCTACTCACGCCCTCGTGAGTCCTGCGAAATCACAGTGAAATGCCACACTAGACTGATCCTCTCGACAGCTGCTAGTGGTACCATCAAACCACCCCCACTTTGATTCTTGCATTTGTTATGATCACGACTGGAAACCTCAACCAAAATGTCCTAATAATCAAGAATCAACGATGCTCCTATGAAGTCACATTTCACTGCTGTGTACAGACACGTCTGGCTACACGTATGACATTATGTGTGTGTTATAACTATTAGCAGATAGCACTGTCCACATTTAGAACAAATAATTTTTGCCAAATACAGAAACCAAATGTTTTTTAATAAAACTGATTTTTGAAAGTTGTCCTGAGCCTGCTAAACAACATATTTAAAACATGAAACCAATAAAAACATATTTTCACGGAGTTTACAGCACTAAGAGACCATTTAACTAACGTACCATGGAATTTAATAAAATGACCTTTTCAATTCAAACCCAAATATTTTTGCTGAGACAGACATTTGTAAAGGGGTCACAAACGATCTTCACACACATCCTAAGCCTCCCATGACTGTCTCCTCATATAGGCAACTTGTTTTTCTGAAGAAGAGAAACAAGTTGTTTTCTTTGATAAATTATGTTTGTTGAATAAGTTATTTATCTTGTAGAGTCTACCTATTGCCAAAAAATTCAAACCATTAAGAAAAAAGTATCAACTAAGCCCGTTGAATGTACTTTTCTAGTACACACATTTGTTTTTCCAATACTCTTTACTTACGACAGTGAAAAAATAATGTTCCTTTTCTCCCCTAAAACGCCTTTCTAGTGCCAGAAAATAGACAGGGATGTGCAAATAAAAATTAGCTTGT